AATAACAACCAACATCGCAAAGTCGCAAGGGTGAGCCGAACTAGGACATGAATGAACATACATGGTCTGTCGTTGTGTATTGATTCTGTGGACATGTCAATCCTGTTCCTATCTCATTTCTTTTGCAGGCAGTAAAGACACACCGCCATCGAATGACATGGCTCAAGATTGAAACAGGTCCGTGGGCGACGCACTTTTGACCTTTCGTAGGTTAGAAGGATGAGATGAGGTCCAAAGCGGCCAAGGTAGCAGCATTGATCGGCAGTCTAGCTGGGCTGGTAGCGTGGGCACCCGAGAATTCAATTTGACGCGAAGCTTTTAGGCGTAGCAGCATCGGCGTCAGCAGTGGACTGTGGACTGTGGACCTTCAAAAAAGAATGACATCAAGACCCCAAAAGAGCCATTGGCCAACAGCGATGTGGGGAAGGGCCCCCAACGGACATGTCAAAACAAGAGAGGAACAAAATCCAGCAAAAGAGATGAACATTGCTGACATGGGAGTTGGGACGCGGGGTCGGGTCACCTGGTCTGAATTGCTTCTATGTTGCACGCGACAGTGCACCAGCCATGGCACCAGTTGGGGGACCGAGGATTGCAGCTGTGCGAGTCTCTTCTGAGAGGATGCCTTGAGAAGAGGAGCGCATTCGAGGCCGCAGGGCTCTGACAAGCGGGAGTCTGCCAGTGGCTCCGATTCATGGAAAGCCTCGAGTACAAGCTTTCCGACCCGGTATGACCGAGCCACTCCCTTCGATGTGGCCAACTTGACACGAAACACAAGACGAGTGGACGCCACGAACGGAGCAAAGGGCATCGCTACGAACGGAGCGATCGACGCTACTAGGGGCTCCTGGCCATACTACTAGGAACAAGAAGCTACTCGGAACAAGTGCATCGCTTCTAGTAACAAGTGCCTTGCTAGTAGTAACAAGAAGCTACTAGCAGCTGGTCTCCGACGAGTGGACGATAGTGGACGTTTGGCCCTGGACCAAGGGCGACCAAGGGCCCTCGGGGCGAGATGGGGGAGGCCTCAGAATCTGATCCATTGAGGTCCGAGACGGTCCGAGCTGTGTCAGCTCGCAATTCTCCGAGTCTGCAGGAGATTCGAAGTGAGGCTGATACAGTACTGAAGTGCTGACGCTTTTTTCAGCATTGGGAAGGGCAACGTTGAGCTCGTCCCATCACGACCGACGTGAAGAAGGCCAATTTGGAGGCCCTTTTGACTTCGAGGCCGAATATTGGACCCTCCAACATTTCACAGCCGAAGTCTTGGCGGCTTCGAGCATGTGCAGGGGAAGTGTGGACACATCAGCTCTGCTCTCATCTCATTTCTTTTGCAGGTGTTCGAAACACACCGCCAATGATCGACATGGATCAAGATTGAAACAGGTCCGTGGGCAGCATACTTTTGACCTTTGGCAGATTCAAACGGATTAATGGATGCACATCGAACGGCATTTCTCGAATCTTGGATGGGGCCACTTCGTGCCGCATCATGTGGTCATCATGTGGTCGAGTGCAAAAACGTCAAAGGTTCATCCAGGGGTGGCATGGCGTCGCCTGGAGTCACAAGAACAAAAGGAAGCATACCAATGTAGTGATTTATGTGATTTTAATAAGGAAAACACCCTAAGTCTATCTACAGCTGGTCCGAGCAGAGTTGCGCAGTCGATTCGATACCAAGGAAGAAAACTCAGTACTCCAGAATCAATTGGAAGCGAGGCAAAGCGTTAGTAGCCTTTTCATTCTTGCCTGATCTTCTTCAGTGAATACAAAAGCTTCTGAACTACATTGCCCGAAACCATGCCCGTAGGGAATGCCTGCCTGGCGGCTTCCGATAGGGGTGGCTGACACAAAAGCTATCATGGCTGAACACTTGTAGCCAAAGACTGCGCGTGTCACTACCGCCTCAAACGAACCATCTTCAGTATCATGATTAACAAAGGCCTGTTATAAAAACAGGGAGATTTCTTCTGCCAGTTCTTTTTCCTTTCAGTCAGATCACCTCTCTGTGTCGAAATAGTGTCTTCAAACTTTGCGTTGTCCGAAGACGTTCGGAAGAAGTAGTGAAGACCCTCCAATCGGTCAAACAATTCTTCTTGCCCGTGCGGCCCGTCTGCCACATCTTTTTCTGCCAGAAGGGCAATCCTAGTCCAGTCTAAATGAGTGTCTGCCAAAAACCGACGCTTGATGACATCACCAACAACCTGCGAAATCGCTCCAAACGGGGGCCTCACACTGTGCACGATCCATGTAGATCATAAGCACGTCGACACATGTTTGCATTGTTTGTTGCCGGTGTGGGCGTGTGTGTATATAATTATTAACTTAGGGCTTTGTATTCCAATTACTAATTGATTAGTTTTTCCATCTGACCCATGACTGTTCCGTAAATACATCATCCTTCGCTTTGGCAGTTGCTCAAACGTGGCTATCTCTTTGAGGATGGCCGTCGTGAATCCATCGTGAAAAGCTACTTTAAGTAGCGCATAGTAGCCCCCACAGGGGGGCTTCAAGTCCAAGTTGAACGAGCTCAGAGTCAAGAGAATTGCTCCTCACAGCCCCCAATTGATAGGCTCAGCAATATGTGCAGTTCAAAGTGGTTCGTGTGAAGCTCTACTTGGACGTCTAGGCCAGCACACTCCAAAACGGGAGGCTTCCTGCTGACATCCTAGGTCCTTTGAAACAAAGCGTGTACAGTGCAAGCAATCCTGTCCATCTGCAAATAGGTCCAATTGTCAAGATTCACGCTTGTTTCAGAAAGCAAACTGTTTGGCCAAAAATGATGCCGACTAGAGCACTGGGACACTCAGTGTACTCAGCCTGCACTTGCTGCAAACTGCAGGTTTGATATGTCTTGCACCTCTTGCTCTAAGGGGGTTCAAACTTCCATTCGCTATTTTTTGTAATTGATGAACAATTGTGTGTTCCAAACGACCATTCAAATTCAACCTGAGCCTGACACCCATGAACAAAGGTATTAAACTTAAAGTGGTAAGTACTACTAATGGATTCAATAGCACAGATTCATGCAAGCTTGTGCAATCTCTTTGAAGCTGACACATCTCATGCTGGACTGCTGCACCCAAAACCCAAGACCCAAACTGCTGCCTTGCATAAGCTCAAAGAGGTCACTGCTGCGGCTGGTTGCTTCATAGCCGATTCCGTGTGGCCTCAACATGAGGCCTCAACGTCGGGTTCATTCAGCCTGCTTACTCCGCTGGTGCAACTTCGACTAGAGCTGCCTCCTCTGCCGGTGCGGCCTCAGCAGGCGCTGCCTCCTCAGCCGGCGCTGCCTCTGCCGGTGTGGCCTCAGCAGGCGCTGTCTCCTCAGCCGGCGCTGCCTCCTCTGCCGGTGCTGCCTCAGCCGGTGCTGCCTCAGCCGGCGCTGCCTCCTCTGCCGGTGCTGCTTCGGCTGGTGCTGCTTGCTCAGCTGGCGCCGATTCGGCTGGTGCCGATTCGGCTGGCGCCGATTCGGCTGGTGCTGGCTTCTCGGCTGGTGCTGCCTCTTCCTTTTTCTCCCCTTTTCCAGAGTGAACTGATGCAGTTTCATCCACCTTCTGTTCTATTGGCTTCTCTGCTGGTGTGTCGGTCTGGGCAGCAGGGGTGGCAGCAGTCTCCGCCTTAAGAATTGAAACGTGTGAAGAAGGACAACTGCATGAACTTCCTGTAGCATCCATGTCAAGTTTGTTGCAGCTCTCCGCACCGTCTTCGGCTCTTCGGTCTTTGGGGCGGCGCTTGCGGCCTTGGAGGTAGAATGAATCACCAGGCCCCTTCGAGGATGGAACGAATTGAGAAGGACTCTCAGACTCAGGACCCAGCATCTGCCTTCGCCTCAAAGTGGCAATTTGAGCACACACAAACGCACTCTTCATACTTCATACATGCTCCTGCGATTTTACAGGTCTGTTTACATCGCAAACCATGAATGGTCAGATGCAAAGGAAAAGATTGAAAAAGGAAGGCCAAATATGCAAACATCATCAAAGCACACCACTTTACCAAACATTACCAGTCAACCATGTGTGCGTGACTCAAACTGGGATTCCTCGAGCTGCTAAGTCACAGCGACCCGGAGGGATCCCTCGGCCACGGTGTGTTGTGGTTATGTTTGGTGTTGTGATTACGTGTCACTACCTGGTGTCTGCTGTCATCTTTGACCTAGTGTGTTGTCAAGTTATTACTAGTGTTGCGGTTTACCCTTCGTATGCTGATGTTCGTGTTATTGTTTGCAGTCTAGTCTAGTGCCGTCTTTGTCCCACTGTACTGTCGTGTTGTGGTTCTGTTTGCTGCCGTCAAATGCGCTGTCGAACGTGGTCTAACGACAGTCTAACCTTGTCTGCTGTCGTGTGGAGCCACCAGCGGGACCACTGGGTCGGGCCACTGGTTTTGTCACCATTGTGTTGTATGTGGCATTGCTTCTGATCTCTTTTGTCATCGCTTGTCGTGTTTTCTGAGCTTGTGTTTGGTGTTGTCACGTGTTGTCAGTGTGTGTTGTCAGTGTCAAAGTTTGTTGTCTGAGTTGTCTGTTGTGGTGTTTGTCACTGCACTCGGTGATGCGCTGCAGTAGCAAACGTCACCATAGGGTGGGTTGTCCAGCCAAAATCTAACTACCCCCAATCCTGTCATCCAAAAAAAGACCTCTTGACTCTTGACATCCAAACTGTTGCAGTACTCATGTTTCACACAATGACCCCATGCAAGACTCAAGTTTGGCCCGCTCTGCTTGAAGCAACATCTGCATGCGGTCGTCTGTTTTCAACTGCTTCGATGCCCTCTTCTCTGCAGCTCTTCAAGACCTGTCCCAAAACGACTTGCCATACACACCATCAAAGTGGACTTGCTCATCTGCAAATATTACAAATGATCCGGTCAAAGATTGAAACCAAAACTGAAAAACATTGGCTTCCAAGGCGATTTACTGAGAAATGACCGTGGCTGACAGTACTAATGGAACTTACAACAGGTGTACCAAGTCAGCTTCCAGCATCGTGAATCTCTACTCACTTGAACCTCTTCTGATATTGTGCGAAAAGAATCGAAAAGAATGATCGTGTACTCAGCATCTCCACACCACAAACAAAAGCTTTCAAGGCCTCTTTGCAATGCTGGACACCCCTCTTTCGCAGCAGCAGGGCATTCCGCAGCGCCACTGAAGCACTGGCCGCCTTCAACAGATCGAAGGGTGTAAAGTGTAAAGGGTGCGGCTTGAGGATGGCTAGCCAATCCAATCAATCCTCTACCAGCTCTGTGGATATGTCTCATCACTAGTCTCATCTTGAGCCACCTGTGATGACTGGTTCAATCAATCATGTTATATTATGGTCTTTGTTGATAATGAGCTGGCTAAACGAAGAACTGCAAGCCGCACCATCAGCTTCCCACACTGAGAATGACTCTCAAAGGACTCTCGTCGTGATAGTCGTGTCCCTTGTCATTCGAGCTGAGATGCTCAGGTTGCTACACTGAGAATTGTCCAGTCTCCCAATCAAAAAGAAATCAATGCACCTCTGGACCTCCCTGAGTTGCAGCTGGATGATCTGCAGCGGCTGCAGTGACTTCTTTAACTCCTTGAATCAGCCAGCAAACGGTGTTGCATCCACACATCAAACAAAACCGCAGTGTGGCCCAAGGGCACAAGTTGCTCAAAGTCACAATATGACTCCCCATTGAGTCCCCATCTTCTACCAGGCCTGCTCGACACAAAACGCCGTTCACTGTCTTCCACCGCCGAGGGTCTTAAGAAGTGAAACGCTGGGACGGGTGAGCGATTCACGTAGTTCGCCGCATCTTCCCCTCGACCCTCCGGCACATCGCCTCGCGAGGACGAGCTTGCGATGGGTCTGAGACGGGTCTGAAAACTGCTTGACTTCACATGACTTGGGATAGGATCATATACAATATATATATATATATGTATACCTGAGAAGGGAGGGGACGAAAGCCAGCCTCTGGGTTGGGGGTGCCCTCAGGGCAAGCCTGGCCAAAGACTTGGCGTGCAAGATGAAGTGATTGGGCAACATCGGGCAAAGAGTACTTGCATGGGGTGAAGTTGACATCGCAGCCACCTCGATAGGGGGTAGAAACAGGAAGTCAAATGCATAGGGTGCCCTTTTTCGTCTCTGGTCAGGGGCGTTTTGGAGGTGAAAAAGGGCACCTGGAAGGAAGTGAGGGGCGCTTGCCTGCTGTGTGTTGCGAATCATTGAGCCAAGATGTATTTGGAAGTGGTGAAGTTGATATTGCCGTCCAAGATGAAGTGATTGGCTAACATCGGGCAAAGAATACTTTTATGGGGTGAAGTTGACATCACAGCCACACTGATGGGGGATAGAAACAGAAAGAAAGTAGAACACATAGCTTTGGGGGGGGCTATGGGCAGGCTTTGGTGAGGATACACATATGTATCTAGGTAGAGTGGACAAAGAGTAGCCGGAAGCGGTGAAGTTGATATTGACGCCACTTGAGCGTGCAAGATGAAGTGATTGGCCAACATTGGGCAAAGAGTACTTTTATGGGGTGAGGTTGGGATCGCAGGCGCCCGATAGAGGTAGAAATAGAAGGTAGAATTAACGGGGGGGTGTCCTTTTTCGTCCTGGTCCAGGAGTGCTTTGGAGATGACAAAGGGCCCCCTCAAATATATTGTATGAGTTTGCTTGCTGCGTGTTGCTAATCAGTGAGCAAAGATGGTTGTGGGAAGCCTATGGGCGAGGCAATCGGCAGGCTTTCGTGAGGATATGTATATAGGTAGAGTGGACAATGAGGAGCCGGAAGTGGTGAAGTGGATATGGCCGTCATTCGAGAAAGAATGGAAATAGACAGTAGAAGTAGAATACATAGGTTTGGGACGGGGTGCTCTTTTTCGTCTTGATGTCGCGGCGTTGTGGAAGTGCAAAAGGGCACCCCTGTAGTCCGGGGAAGGTTTGGTATGGTGTGCTGGTCTATGTTTCAAGTGAGTTGACGGCTGGCCTTCGTGATTAGATACTCCCCATATGGGGTGCCCTTTTGAGTCCACCAACTAGACCCTGCCACGGATAAAAAGGGCACCCCTAAGCAACTCAAAACCTTCCGCCTCCAACGCTTGCCCACAACTGCAATCTGTTCTCTTTCCTGCTCTCAAGTATACGGTGACTTCTAACCACTTTTCACGTCCGACGTGAACTCTCACCCCTAGTAAAAACAGTTTACATGGCCTCCTGAGCCCCTCATGATGCTGATGATGCACCACTGGCCGTCAATTACATCACCGGCATCACAACACCCCCCAAAACCATTCATTTTCACTACCAAGTGGCCCGCCTCTTTTTGTCGCTCTCCTGCACTAGGCTCTGGGTTCACCTCTCCGGAAGTGACCACCCAAGTAACCACCCCCCCACACCCCCTTTACTCACTTCGTTCGCTCAGCTACCTCAAGCCCAGCCTATCAGCTGGCTTTCGTGATATATCTGTTTTTTCCCCAAGCAGTTTACTGTTGGGGTTCTATCTCAGAAAAAAAGAGCTGGCCACACTCACTGGCCGCGCCCCTGAACTGGGCTCTGTGGCTGGGCCTTGTCCTCTTCTTGTCCTCCTCTTGTCCTTGTCTTGGCTGCGCCCCTGAACTCTGTGGCTGGGCTCTGTGGCCCGGCTCTGTGTCCGGGTCTTGTTCTCCTCTTGTCCTTGTCTTGGCCGCGCCCCTGAACTCTGTGGCTGGTCTCTGTGGCCCGGTTTACTGGAGAGGAGTGTGGCCGAACAAATAGCAATGTCAATGCCGACAAAAATTCATTGATGAAGCAGTTTGCTCTTGGGGTGAAGGTAGGGCGACCAAGAAATCAATTTTTGACTAATATGGTCTAAACGAATTGTTTTGAAGCTGTTTGGGGTCTATGCTTGTATAATTTGGTAATATGATGTAATATGCGTTATATTAGGGCTGGTGTCTCGAAATCCGACACCAAATCCACGAAGATGGAGAATCAATGACCTTTTGTTGCCTGGAATGCTGATGCTGACACAAGCCCTTTAAACTATGTCAGCCATGTTCGGGTTTGCTGCAAATGCTTAAGCACGGACACGCTTGTTTCGACTGTAAGCAGCCCACCTTCTCCAGGCAGCTGGCGACCCTCAAAGCGCCACAAAGGATGGAACGGTGCCAGTTGGACCTTGGTCTGTCCTTGCGAGTCGATGAAATATCGACCCCCAAGCACCGAATTGAGCAAACCGAAATCGATCAGCTGGTGTGAGCTCGTTGCATATGCAAGGAACCTTGGTCTCATCCAGATTCAAGTCCAAATAGTCGCAGACCTGTCCATTGACAACACGCATGCTGTGTGCATGGTGTGAGAGGTGGACGTTCCACACCATATCAATGGGACAGAATCCTCTTCAGAACATCTGAGACATTGCACGGCATCTTTTTTGGACAGTCCCATTGCAGGGTCCCAAGCCCGTGTTCTTTGATGTTTCTTGCATCTTTCGGCCTCCCTGTGGGTGCTTCCTTCGAGAGACACACACACTTTTGCGGGGCCTTATGAAAGCGTTTCAGCCGCTGAAGGCCATGGCAACGTGGCGCCAAGGCCAGCGTCGTGGCACCCAGGGAGCCCGGTGGCTTCGCTCGCTGCAAGAGCTGCCCGTGCTGCAGAAGACGCTGGGCCACCGCCTTTGAGAAAATAGCGATGGCCTCCCCCCTCCCAGCGATGGGCTCCAACCTAATAGCAATGGCCTCCAACCCAGTAGCGATGGAAATGTCTGGGGACATCTCTCTGACATGTCAGAAATTGGTCAGAACTGGTGTCATGTTTGGTGAAGAGTTGTGCACATCTGTAAACATCAAGTTTCGAATCAGACAAAGACAGTTTGCACAACTGGCAAGTTGGTCTTGGAACGGGATGGAAAGGGATTCCGACACAGCCACACTGACATCGGCATGAAGAGGAAGAAAGCAATGCTTTTACTGGAATTTACAGAATCCCCTTGTCTAAAAAGATCTGAATAGTTTGTACAATCAATAAAGACAAGCACATAAAAATACATGAAAAAAAAGGAAACACATGACCCATGGCATGGTTCGATCACAGAATCTCCTTCTCATCGCTCTCGAGGAGGCAAACCACAGCCAGGGCGCCCGAAGTCAAAGCGGCTTCGGCCCAGGGGCACAAACCTGGCTACAATCACTTTGTCATTAACATCATCATACATCAATATATCATGATATATCATGGGAACACCTACAAAGTATCAATGGTGGTTTCGCTCGACAGCAACTTGACAGTTTGTGCTACTGAAGAGGCACTTAATCCTGGCAGCCTGGCAGCTGCGTTTGGAGAACAATTAAAGCCCAGAGCATCCCAGAGCTTGGGATTGGCATGAGTCTGCTCTCCAGCCAGACCTTCTGCGATGATGAAGCGCTGGAGCCAGCTGCGTACTGCAATGGCCACTGGGAGGGAGCGTCCTCGCTCACTTTCCTAGTCAAGACCACGTCTACAAATCAAATTGCCTCATTTTTTGCAACCCAAAACTTGTCACATCATTTCATCATCATTCCGAATGACTCCCGATTTGACCCACTCAGAACCGGAAATCGGCCTCTGGCGCCATTTGCTGTAGAACTTCCGACCAACTCGTCGGCTCCCGCGCCGGCGCCACCGGGCCCATGGGCGGCCGCGGCCGGCGCCGCGGTCGCCCCGAGCCGGGGCGCCGCGGCTCGGCGGAACGGCACGTTCCACCTGGAGAAGTCGCCGGCATAAACCAATTGGCTCAACAGCCGCCCTAGTGGTCTTGGTGGCAAACAGCCGCCCTGGCCTCTAGAGCTGGGCCATCCCACATTGAACCTGCAGTGCTCATGGAAAATAGAAGAAACATGCAAAAGGTATGGCATTCGATGTGGCTAAATAGTTGGAGGATTACGATGGGATACAAGTCTCCATCGCTTGCGACATGCATGATGCATGGCATCATGAGCTCGTCAAGCCGTGGATTTGCCCAAGGCACGTCAAGTCCGGGCAGCCTGGGCAGCCTAATATGACCAGGACCAAAAGGCAAGGACGACTATGTCGCTGCGAAGTGGCCATGGTGGTCAAGCGCTGAGACAGCTTATGTGAGCTTTGTGATGAAGGATGGTCTGAAAATAATCCATTTCAGGGACGTGTGTACACACTGACAGCAAATAGTTATATACGTAGATGCGTTGTGCTTCGATGTTTGACAAATCAAAATGTTGGTGTCCACAGATTTCAACCAATATCAAATCCATGCGAAACCCTTGTGGTTGGCTTCTTGGTCAGTATCCGTTCCAGGCTCTGGGTCTTTAGTCCTTGAGTTTGGACGTATGGCAAGAAGTTCTCCGCAGTACTTGCAAGCTTTGTAGCAAGTACAACTGTGAGCCAAGTGTCAAGAAAAAACAACAATCAGATTGCCTGTCAACACCTCTGCTAGAATGAATCCAGCTGCAATTGGATCCCCTTGATCACAGCATCAGCTGTGGATTCACTGCTCTCGGATGCCCAGCTTCGTATTTGGTTGAGCTGGCGCCGCAACCTGGGAAACTAAGAATGAAGATACGGTGAGAGTAGCTCATAGGAAGCAGTTATGTCCTTACAATTTTTAGGTCTTAGGTTCTACATGGTTCTACCCCGTGACGGCTAGCATTTTGGCACGTTGTGCTGGCTGTACACGATCGACTCGCCCTGAAACAGGATGTTGAGTCTTTGAGCCTCAAGAATCTCAAGAGTCTGAGTCTAATGAGCCAAGACGGACGATATCCATGGCCAGTGGTGGCCAGTGGCCAATTATTTGCCATTCATGGCCTGCTCAAGACTCTGCAAAGCCCTCTGGAGCTCCTCCAGTTCTTTCTGGGAAGCCTGCATCTTCTGACTGTTCTGCTCCCGCACGTTGGCCGGCACCTTTTCCTCGTATCCCTCCACAGACATCTTCTGCTTGTAGGACTCCACCATCTTTTGAGCAGAGGTCACCTTTTTCTGAAGCTTTGCCTTCTCACCAGACAAGTCTAAACCCTCCACTTTGGTGTAGATCAGGCACTTCTCATTCACCACATCCCGCATAGTGCCGTGTGGATCAGCTGCACCAGCTTTGAGGACTTGAATCGCTCCTACTGCAGCCATGCGAGAGATCTGACTCTTCAACTTCTCGATCTGCACCCGGGAGTCCTCCTCCGTATGCCTGATATAGGCTTCAGGCCGGGCACCTGGATTGAAGCCGAGGGAGGTCTTTTGAGAGCGGAACTGCTTCGCAATCTCACTGGTGACTTCCATTTCCTTCTCTAAGGCTTCATTCCTCCAAGCATGCACACCCACAGGGAAGGGAGCAATGGTGATGCTCTCACATTTGGTGGGAGAGGGAGGCAGCCGTTGATAGAGCTCCTCAGTAAGGTATGGAAGCAATGGGTGCATCAATCTCATCGACCAGTCAAGGCAAATGTACAAGACTTGTCGAGCCACATCCCGATCTTTAAGGACATTCTCATCTGTGGTCTCACCATGGAAACGGGGCTTCAACAGCTCCAGGTACACATCACAGAGCTCATAGAGGAAGAAGCTGTATGTGGCCGTTGTGGCATTGGCAAACTCGTACTTCTCCATGCTTTCATTGGTCTTCTGCGCGCAAAAGGAGAGTCTTGAAATGATCCACCTGTCCTCCCATGCCAAAGGAAGATCTGGACGCAAAGCACCTGGAAAGGTGAAGTCATCTCCAAAATAAAGCAGGCCAAACCTTGTGGCTTGCCAAACTTTGTTGCAGAATTGTCTGTAGCCGACCACGCGGTTAATGTCGAGATTCACGTTCCTTCCTTGAAGGGTATAAGCCAACAAGCCGAAGCGCAAGGCATCTGCACCACACTCAGGGATCCCATCAGGATAGTCTTGCGCTTGACCTCTCCGATGCTTCGACGATGCTTTGGCGGAGGGATGTGTCCATGATAAATGCATGAAATGGACGGCAATTTGTGTGTCACTGTATGGTCATGTAATATCATGTATGACATTGTATGACTGTATGGCCAGCATGCTGAAAGGTAGAAGCCCCTTTTCAAAACCATCGAATGCCCTGGGTCATCCCATGTTTGCCTGCCTTTCTTGGCTTTCTCAATCTCCTTGTCAGGGAGGTTCCCTTCATAGAGCTTCTTGTGGAGGTTTTCCAGGTCGATGCCATCGATCACCTCCAAGGGGTCGATCACGTTGCCCAAGCTCTTCGACATCTTCCGGCCGTGGGCATCCCGCACCATGGCCTCGGTGAAGCAAAACAACAAAACACGGACTACAAGTACTAGGAGCAAGAAGCTATTAGGGGCTCCTGGCATCGCTATTAGGAGCAAGGACGCTACTAGGGGCTCCTGGCCTTACCACTAGGAACAAGAAGCTACTAGGAACAAGTGCATCGCTTCTAGTAACAAGTGCCTTACTAGTAGTAACAAGAAGCTACTAGGAACAATGTTTGCTATTCGGAGGCGGAAGCAAAAGCCGCGGAGGCGGATCGAAGCGCGGGCGGCGATGTCCGGTCTCGTTGAACCGTGGTCTCGGTGATCGAAGGTTGGCCCCTAATAGCGTCTTGCTCCCAGTAGAAAGGCCAGGAGACCCGTTCGTGGCTTCTTGCTCGTAGTAGCGATGCCAGGAGCCCCTAGTAGCTTCTTGTTCCTAGCAATGTGATTCGTATCTATATGTCTCAGGTTCTTTTCGTTTCAGGACTAGGAGATGGCTCTAAGAGTTCTGCAGAAACGAGAAAAACTTGTTAGAGCTGAGAGAAGTCGACATGCAAGTAGACGGTGTGGAACGGGAGCTTTCCCGTCAGGCCCAGGGACATCATCACCATGCGTGCTACCCAAAAGAACAAAATGTCGTGGCCTGTTTCCAACAACGAAGTAGGGAAAAAGGCCTTGAAGTCATCGTTGTTCTCAGTGTCTGGCCATCCAAAGACACTGAAAGGGAAAAGACCGGAGGAAAACCAGGTATCCAAAACGTCTTCATCCTGCTCTACTTCCACCTCACAAGAGTGGCAAATGTTCAATGAATGGTCTTTTCACCAGTATGCAAAACATGCACTCAGCCTACTGTGTCACCAATTCATGTCAATTCGTTTCATCAACACTTCGACTTCCCAATTCCCCTTGCAAAGCTTGTTTACTCTGTCTATGAGTGCAATTCAATGCTGCTGTGCCTTCTGTCCCAAGTCTTTGGCAGCCTTTGCTGCAGCCTCCTCTTTTGATCTGCCGGTATACCACTTCTCTTCCTTTTGCTCTGGTTTCACCACCTTGTAAGCCGGGATGCGATGACCCCACCAAAGCTGGCGTGAGATGCACCACTCCTGAATATTCTCTAGCCAATGGTACCAAGTCTGATGATGGAATTCTGGAAGAATCTTCAACTCACCATTCCTCACAGCCTTCACACTTCGATCAGCGAGATCCTGGCAATTCATCCACCATTGAGGCTTCAAGTAGGGCTCGATGATGTCTTTGGAGCGGGAACAAAAGCCCAAGCGCATGGAGTGAGACTTCTTGCCAACCCAAAGTCCCTTCCTCATTGTTCATAATGGGGCAATGAAAGATGGCTAAGACAGGATTCCACACCTAGACCTGGAACAAGGAGCACCCTCATTCAATTCTGTTTCCTGATCATGAAATTGACTCTGTCTCAGCGTGGCATACAAAAACCTCAGAGGCACTAGTTGCAGCCAAGGATCTTCTTCAGTGCTTCCTCCACAGTAGTTCGTGCCTTGAAGCGATGCTGGCCTTTGAATTCTCCACCAAGCTCGTTGATATTGCCATCTTCTGAGAAGACGTTGATCTGCTTCAAGCCGTGTCGCACACCACATTTAAAGTCGTTGTGATCATGGGCCGGGGTGATCTTCACACAGCCCGTGCCAAACTCCTTGTCAACCATGGTGTCTGCAATCACCACCATCTTCCGGTCAGGGAAGAATGGATGTTCAATCTCCTTGCCGTGGAAGGCTTTGTATCTTTCATCCTCTGGATGAACCGCCACGGCTGTATCACCCAGCATGGTTTCCAATCGTGTAGTTGCTACAGTCAAGGCATCTTTGGTTCCCTTGATCATGTACTTGAACTCGCAAAGCACGCCAACCTCTACCTTGTCATCAAAGCCTGGAATGCTCACCAAAGTCTTACCAGCAATGTCTTCATGATCCACTTCAAGATCCGACAATGCAGTTCTCAAGTATGGGCACCAATTCACCAAGCGATTGTCTCTGTAGATAAGGCCCTGATCATGAAATCGGATAAATGCCTCCTCTACAGCCCTCGCGCAACGATCATCCATGGTGAAACGCTCACGGGTCCAGTCCACTGATGCTGCTATTCGTTGCAACTGCTTTTTGATGTGGCCTGCATTCATCTCTTTCCACTCCCAAACACGCTTCAGGAAAGCCTCTCGACCCAAATCATGGCGAGTCAATTTCTCTTCTTTGAGTAAACGGCGCTCCACAACACTCTGAGTGGCAATGCCGGCATGGTCAACACCTGGCAGCCAAAGAGTGGCATTGCCGCACATGCGGTGCCATCGTGTAAGAGCATCTTCGATGGCGCCTGTCAAGGTGTGTCCCAAATGCAGCTTCCCGGTCACGTTGGGTGGAGGAATCACCATCACAAACCTCTTTGACTCGCAACTGCCTTGGACAGCCTTAGCATCTGGTGTAAAGAAAGATCTCTTCTCCCACCATGCATCCCATGCTGATTCAACAGCCTTTGGATTGTAAGCTTGTGCCATTGCTCGAGTCATGTCCTTCTTTTCACCATGAGGAGTTTGCACGATCTCCTCCTCTACAACTTTGGTTTTTGCTTTCTCTTTTTTTTCTTTTCCCTTTCCAGGCTCACCCCATGTAGGTTTTTCTTTAGCGACTTTCTCCTTCTTCTCCTTCTCCTTCTTCTCTGCCACCGGTGAGCTGCCTGCAGCTGAAGCAACTGGTGCACTGGGGCCACCAGAGGCACCCGAGGCACCTCTCCTCGCTATGCCACTGGCAAGTTCATCCAGTTCCAGCACCATGCGCCGCAAACCGATCGTGCGCAGCGAACGCAGCAAACGCAGCGAACGCTGAGCCGTTGTGAGAGCTGGGCCGTTTCGCAATTATTCGAACCAATACAGGTCTGAGGATCTCCGGAGCATGAATCATGCTGCTGTCATCATGCTGCTGACTGCACATGAGTGGATCAGATTGGACCATGAATTCATATGAAGAGAAGGTGCATGAGTGGCAAACAGCTCACGGATACGTTCACCCTTCTTCTGAGTGCGGCTGTGTGCCCGGCCCATGTCTATTCGGACACCTGATCATCGCAACAAGCAAACGCATCAAACGCTCCAGCCAGCAGTCCCCAGGGCCCGTATTTCAATCTTCCGTGTAATTACTGTAATCTAATACGCAACGCGGCAGTCCTGGAAATAAGCAGAAGAGAAAATGAACAAAACGTGAGGCCCCAACGAAATACGAAGTGTGAGTTTTCGCGGATGCGCAAAAAGCTGTGAGTGGCAGCTGCACTGTGGAGCACCAATGGCAACAATCAGTGGAGTTAAACATCGTCGGACGTCTCACAACAGTGACCGCATGTCTAACTCGAAGGTAAGGAAATCGTTTGTGACTTCCCAGAGCTTTGGCCGCAAGGGTTTTTGTGTTCAGACTCGTGCATTCTCACTGTATCAAAAGAGAAAAGAGCAAAATAAAGCTCAGTTTCTTGCCTGAGCAGCATTGACTTTCAAGCCTTACCTTTCAGTCGGTGTTTTTTTTCAGAGCAAGCCATTGATGTCAAGCGGTTCCACATAATGTGGACATACCTCAGGAGAGAGTTGGCGGACTAAATGCGTTCAGGTTCATGTCTGTGAGCTCACAACGACCACGTTCTGAAGGTCAGGCAATGTTAATGTTAATGCAGTCAGTCATGTTGACCAGTTTTTAACTCCCCTGCGCTGGGTATGTAAAAAGTCCCTTGCTGTTTGGACAGCCAACGATGGCAACCTGGAAGGGGCAAGCTACACAAAACTGACGAAGATCAGCGAACAACTAGGGATGACGAAGATCAGGTGATCTCCTTGGAGAATGGTCACCGCACTTTGTGCGGTTTAAGCGATCACCGGTCTAAGGCCCAAAACGGACGTGTAGTCTAGAGTCTACACCAAGGTCTTGTTGATGAGCTCGTTCATGAAGTCATCCGGCTTTTGCTGCTGGTTCTGGCTCAAAGGCTCCCCGCAGGACTCAAACCAGGTCACTGCGTGCTTGCGGTCCCCTTCGAAGGTGTTCCGTCCATGAAGCACACGATAGTTATCCAGAAGGACGACATCACCTCATGGCACCAGGTGAGTGGCAAATCGGCCCACCACTCTGGCCAAAAATGGAACAAGTCACTGCAGGTGATATGAGAGAGACATGATGACACCTATCATGACTCATTGGGATCATGGCATTGGTTCATGTGAATTGATACCACTGGATCTGGATGGATCCGGTTCGCCTTCCTTCATGGCCATGGTGTGGATGTTCTTCTCGCACACCTCGTTGATGTGTCGGACGTCATCATACGGAATGGTGGACAAATCTCCGCTGTAGACCTGTCTCACAGCACAGCCGCTTCAGCCAAAAAGGCCTAGTCGTTTCTTCCTAGTCGTTTCTTCCACTCTTCCCTAAAACTTTGCCTCCCAGCTTCCTAACCTGGAAATTCCGATACTCTAAACACTCTCTACTACAGTAGTAGTCATAGAACCCTGTGGTCATCATGATTTCAATATCGCTTTGAATCTTCACATGTCTTGCCCAAAGAACGCGCAGCTTGCCGACCAAGGAACGTCAGTCATGCCAACCTCTGGGACAGTGCAAGGACGACGGTCCCGCAAATAGCGGCTGTGGTTGTGCAAGTTGCAAAACCAGACTGGCTGGCCTGAACTGCGTGGGAATTCAAACGATAGTAGTTGTTCACATACGTATCATATCTATCAGACTTAGCTTTAAAGGATCGTTCCATTCACACAGAACTCCAAACACCCAGAAAACGACTTTCGCCCACCCAGCACCTGTCACAGGGTGTTTGTTGATCGGTGACTGGGCATGCTCAATGGCCTGCAAACGATAAGGGTTGGATTGGTCCGCACCGTAGATCATCTCCAGGTCCATGTCAAACTTTGGAGCCACGACCTTCAGAATCAAATCCTGGAAGAAGTCAGAGGCCGACTCCCTGAAGCCATCTGGCAAAGATCCCAGGAAGTTGAGATCCAAATTGCTCACAGAGATCCTCACCTTGTTCTTGTAGATCCTCTCCAAAACATCCTTGTCCATATCCTCCAAGATCTTGGCACCATCCGCAATCAAGAACTCCCCACCTCCTTCAGATGCCTTCTGGAAGCACACAAAAGCGCCATAGGTTGCCTCAAGAGTGGAGCGGTCTGAACAATTTGAATTATCTAATTATATAGATGGAAGTAGAAATTGCCGAGCTTTTGGCCACCAAACGCATTCCATCACATGTGGCATCGCTAAACCGGGGAACATTGACAGAGAAGTCTGTAGAAGAACAAAAAAAATGACGTAAACATACGTAAACCTCCTTGAAAGTTGCTGTCTTCACGAAGGTGGACTCGTTGTGCAATCCAACGAAGTGGCCCGCCAAGGAAGGTTTGTTCACTGCCTCATAGACGGCATGCTTCTTCTCTTCCATGGCTCTCAGTCCTGAGGTGTGGATAGGGTCTAGGCATGGATTCAGCTCCAAAGCCTCATAGAACTCACGGAAGCCGTCGGGCTGCTTAGTGGACTCGAAGTTCCTGAACCAGATTGCACCATGGTCCTGGCAGGAAGGAATTACATGGATTGCACCATCACATGACTCACACACCATGAAGGCAGGAAGGAATTACTTTGAGGGGAAGCAGTCAAATCCCCAATCTCAGTGGTGTTGTCATCCCTGCCTGAAGCTGAGCCATAATCTTCTCCTTCTGAGCAGCAACCCACTCTTTCTCTTTGCCCTTCTGCAACTCATCCCCCAACTCAGCAGCATCGATGATCAAGGGCGCCGTCTTCTTCACAGCAGGGAGCTTCTTGATGTCGATGTCATCGGCATTCCAGATCGTCTTTGGGCAGTCAGGCAGTGCTCCAGACAAATCTCCGACTTTCCGCTCAGCCACCACGCTGGGAGGCGCCTGCTGGCGTGCCACGCGTGCAGAGCGGCTGGAACGCTTGCGCAAGCTGCTGGCCACAGCAGCCAGGCCAGCGGTTCCCATGGCTGCCGTGCCAAGGCTCAAGCCCTGTGTTGCCTGGGAGTTGCCCCGAAGAGCTTGGATCGTGTGAGTCGTGTGGCTTGGCGCGCGAGCTCCCTGCAATGGGCCTACGAAGGCGGTAGCTGCGGCTCCGGCCACCATGCTGGCCACAGCTACACGGCTAATGGAGTCAGAGCTCATGGCAAAATGGCTGCTCCGTTCACTATCCCTTCTGTCTATTAAAAAGGAGCAAGAAGTGCTGCGATGGGTGAAATCTTCATGCTGTTCAACAATCTTGCTGCAAGTGTCTTCGGCATCGCCAACTGCGGACAGGGCACCCAAGTTCGCGTAGCAGACCAGATCTTGCTCTGTTGACCAAGCATGTCCTTTCTGATAATGAGAAGCACCTAGACAAAATGTTCAGAAAAAGCATTCTGGAGAAAACCCATGAGCCCGCGCATGCTTCACATGGTGGACATTCGATGACTTCCTTTTGCGACAGCACAGCGGGAAGTTGGGCTAAGGCTGAGGACCCAAGGCCAGACCCTGACATGGTACGCTGCTGTGACTTCTATGTCACAGTTCGCGCTAGAATTCTCTGTACATGTTCTTATGAATGTGAATCGGTGCCTCGTCAGAGTGGCGTGACATCTTGTCTTCAAAATCTTCTGTCTAACAAGAGTGACAAAGCTCCCCAGTACCAGTATCACGTCAGACAAGCCCAAAACCCTGAACCACACTCCATGGGGCATCTGTTCGTTGCTACAGTCATCCTCCGCAGAACTCTTTCAGATACAATAGGTATATAAGTAGGCCTGAAAGCATTCTTCCATGTCTGCACCTGCGGAATGTGGAGAAACCATGGTCATGAACCTTTGGACAACTTAGGAACCTGATCCATCTCTCCAACCAAATTGACAGTCTTGCTTGGGAATCCTTGACTCACATCCATTTGTCTTATGTCTTATGCTACTTAAAGTTCTATCCATCCGCATTTGCAAAAGCAATTTGCACTTCTGCGGTCGAAGGGGTCAAAGACCTGCCAAAAAGGGTGCAACTGCGTTTCCCAAAGCACTTTCTTTGGGCGCCACAGTTGCTGGGAAAATCGTGGCAAATCCTGGACTTGAAATCACTTGAAGCCCGAGAGTGAGAGAGGAATGCCTGGGTTGAGATCTTAGTTCAAGTTCGTTCGTGATCTCCAGCTCCAAGCTTCGGCTACGCCAAACTGAAGTGAGCTTTGCACAGTTCGGCTCAGTAATACCAGAATGACCACTGCCACTTGGGCAAGGTGACAGGTCTAAGAGACTGCTTCATCCCTGGTCACAAGAACAGTTGCGCTCAGAAAATATCCATATCCTCCGGCTTCTTCTTTTCATCGCCTGGATCGTCAAATTGACCAAAGGATCGTCCCTAGAAACGTTGAAACAAAGCACTGGTTTCTTCTTGTTTCCAACTAACAACACAGTACTCATTATGACATGTTGGATGGATGTATTTTTCCTCCAGTCAGAAGGGTGCATCCAAATATGAGATGCATTGATTCGGCAGGAAGGACATCGCTTCATCCGCTTCGAGTCACTCCTCCTACCAGTAGTTCCGATTGAACATAGAAAGATTTGAAGAGATGGCTTCAACCTCCCCCAACATCGGTCGCACCAATCAAACATTGAGTGTTCGAAATGCGGTGATGAGGTCGAAAGGTTGGGGAATCTCAATGGCCACCCGACGAACGAACTCGCCTGGAAGTGGTGGACACTCTACCGCGGCCAAGGCCAAACCATCTGACTGGACCACCTGGTTGTCCCAGG